CCTGACTGGAATTTGAACTTGGTTCTCCGATTTCTCATTCCAAGCCATTATCCATTGCACCACCCACACATCATCCTCAAGTAATGAGCTGAAAGTCTTGATTTAGAAGAGTTTCATCCAGTGTGGTGATAACTAAATCAGTGTATAACATTTAAGAGGGTGATTAGAAACTATTAACTTTGATATTCTATCTCCTATTCTAAGCATGTGAGAGACAGAAATTGGAGAACCTAAAAACAATTAGGACCAGATAACTCAGCAATGGCAAAATAATTTTACCCAATGAAATCATAAAAGGGCATTTGTATAAAAATAAAAAAAAGAACAATCAAATCAAGTTTATCTGGATATGCAACACCAGTTAACCTTTTTAACAGCATTACACACATAATTGTAAAATTTTCACTACCCATGTTAATTAAATATTTGCAACTTTATATAACCTTATACAGTTATGACACTTTAGTTTAATTATTAACAAAGGAAAAAAATGGTTAAAAATATATAAAACATGGCATTTGCATATAATCAAAGAATTTACTAGTTAATCTTTTTGTAAAAAATAATTATAACTTCAATTATAAATAACTGCTGTAATCAGAAGTTAGAGCTTTGTCTAAGCAATGAATTTCTGAATCATGAAACCAACTTTGTTTTCATAAAATGGAAATCAAGAGCTACAATTGCAAAAACAATATTTCAATTTTTTTTTTTTAAAGATCTGAGCAAAACATTGCATATTACTGTCAGTGAATAAAATGGCAAACATTCAAATCTAAAAGATCCAACACTGTCCAGTGAACTGAGTGTAAAAATTGTGGCATGGACAATCTAACATACAATTCATTAAATTCTGTCTTTGCAGGTTTTAATTTTTTTCTTTTTTGCATGCATCTGAATCTTCTATTATTATATTTGACTGAAAACATTCTCTACAACAAACAATATAAGAAATAACACCCATTACATTCAGCAGACAAATGTGATATTTAGTGAAAAAATAAAAATTGCAAGAAATTCCAAATTTAGGCAGTAAGGTTGTCAGCTGCAGATTTGCAGCAGACAATACCCAATCAGTGAGTGACATTTTAGGTCAAAAAAAAAAAAATAAAAAATAAAAAAATATTTTTTTTTTTTTTTTTTTTTTGCATTTACTTTTGCAAAGAGGGGGTCTAAAGTGAAATCCCTTTCCCCTACAAATATCAACTCATTATTTTACACTTTGGGGAAAAATATTTTCAAACTTTTTTTTCTTAGAAAAGGGAAAATTGGATGCTTAAGTCATAAAATAAATAATGAAGTTGTTGACGATATATTTCTGTGTCATGTTAACATAAAAACTGTAGAGATGCTATGAAAAGAATCAAGTAGTATCTTGTTTTAATAGAGATATTAGAACAAACAACAAAAAAGAAAAAAAAATCTCAATAAATTGATCCATCATGGAGAAATTTTCTTTTTTCTCAAAGGATAAAAAGAAGATATACAAAATGTCTTTTGCTCATTCATTAAAAATGTTTGGTTTTTTTTGTTTTAATGCAATTTTTTTTTTTTTTAAATAGAAAGTTCAACCAAAATTTACCATAATGGATCAGTTCATATAATGTAAGTTGTTATCTTTGCAAAAAGAAACATCTAGAAAATCTAATTAATTGGTGAAGCATCAAAACCTGCTTTTTTCTGTTCTTTTTTTTTAACACTTAATTTGCTTCCAGGCAAAGGAAAATAAGAAGGGATATTTTTTAAATATTCTTGAATGTGCATAAAATACATATCTTTTTAAAGTCTATTAATAGTGCACCAAATATGTTTATGAAATATTTTTAAAACTCAGAATACACAGAATGCTTCCTTCTCCACATAAATTTTCTAAGAGTATGTATGAAGAAATCTCAATATTACAATCCATCAGCCAATAGCAATTCAATATATTGATTTGTTCCTGAGAGAAAAGAAGGACAGTAAGTTAAAACTAGTTTCTTTTAAGCACATGTTTGTCCCTGGAGAGACAGAGATATGGAAGGCAGGCTTCTCCAATTGCTCAATGTACACCCACTCACAAAAGAATCCAGTACTTGCATGTACAAAAGGTCAGCTAACTAATTCAGGATAGTCCAAGTGTAAAAAATTGGCTGCAACTAACCCCTCATTGCAGAGTTGTTACCCATTACTGCCAGAAGCTACAGTTGGTTGGCCAAGAAATCTCTCCTTTGATTGGTCAACTATTACCAATGGACATTTTCTTTTGGTGAGTAAATTTAGTTGTATGGCTGAAGAAACATGTCTGGGAGACAGATCAAGCAAGTTTAACATCTGATCTATCTGTGAAAACAGACAAGCAACCAGTTTATATACAAAGGGATGCTGATAAATTTGCAGCCAAACTCACTTAAAAAAAAATAAATAAAAGGAATGGAATTTTTGTTTTTGAATTCCTTCTTGGCCAGGCCAAGAAGTTTTTAAGCACCTTCTCATGCAAACAAAAGTATAATAAACAAGAAACTTTATTTTAAGGAAAAACAGAAACCATGAATTAATAATGAAATCATTCAGTTCATTGCTTTTATTAATTGTAAAGGGAAGGTTTTAAACTAAGAGAAAGCATTGGACTTTGTAAAATATACGAAACCAACAAACTTCTTTCTGAAGAGATCTACCAAAGAAATCAACCAACCATAAAAGGAAATAGCAATTGTAAGCCACTATGGAGCAAAGAAAATAGATGTATTAAACAAGTATACATGTATCTTTGTGTGTGTTATGAAGGCAGAGAATAGCCTTTGGCCTTGGTTATTCTAAGGCAAAATAGAGTAATAAATATTTGGTATTTGTATGACAAATTCTCTGAAAACATTTTCCTCACCATTGAATCTACATAGACCAGTTTTATATATATATATATATATATATATATATATATATATATATATATGTATGTATGTATGTGAACTGCCATTTATCTTCTCAAAAGGTTTTCAATCTTTCTAGAACATATCTAAGAAATTTCTATAAATCTATATGCTGATCTTTAAAAATTTTGAAATTCTAGATTTTAAAATTGATTTAAATTTCTGAAGTAATTATTTAAGTCTATATTTATATTGAAAATATTTTTAAAATGTAAGCTTTCAAATAAATCCATTTTATTAACTTAGTTCTTAAATTCACTTATATATAAAAATATAAAGACATTTTATAAAAGTAAATCATCAGCAAAAGTGTACAATTTATCAACTTAAATTATTATAACAATCTTTTGAAAAAAAGAGTTTAGTTTGGATAAAAAACACTAAAAAAGAAACCTTTTAAAAGCAAACTAATATATGTTCTATATATTCATTAAAATCAAGTACATTGTGATAAACTCTTACTATATATACAGTTTAAAATCTGCAAAACAAATGGGGTTACTTTGATCCCTATATATTTATTGTATTATTCAAGACAAGAGCAAATTTCAGTTTGCATAAATTGCCACTGAAAACAAGTGAACAGCTATCAATGAAGCTTTTGGCAGATTTTAACATTAATTTTATTCTAGCTAATTAAAACATTTGAATTGCAGATCATGGTGAGTGGGGTTGAATAGCAAGATATTTCTAATTAGGCAATATTTTTATTGCCTTTTTTCTAAAACTAGAGAAAACTATTTAAACTCAGCACCACTAGTCAGGGAAAATTTTCTAATTATCTCTTAAAGATTACTTTAGTAGACCAATAATTAAAAAATTGCACAACAAAACCTGGAAATATTTTGCCATCATTTTTTTTTTTAATTATGCACACATAGTTAATATTTTAAAAATCTAGTTTATGTCCATAACTTTAAGTTACTGTAACATTTTTGTATATTTGGTTGATGTTTGACATAAGTTTTGTACATGTAGCCACAGGAATTCCAGAAGCTTACAAAAATTATTACAAAATTATTACAAGTACTTCATTTACTATATTTTTTATTAAAATTTATATTAAGCTTGTCAGTGTTTGAATGCTTCTATATTAATCTTTAATTCACTTAGTGTGTGATTTATTCTCTTGGATAATGTACGGAAATCCAAATTAAAAATTAATTTTTAAAGCAAATTAGACAAAATCTATGATTATTACTCATTCCTGTTGATGCACAACATTGAAGAGTTCTGCAAAAGTTCAAATTCTAAGTTCCAGGTACCTTTATTATTATTATTCTCTTGGGAATCGGTAGTAAAATTGGGCAATGTACATAAAATTAGAGTGAGGTCAGATTTAGAATTGTAACCTAAATTATGATATTAAATGCCTAAGACAATAGAGTTGGAGGGAGGAGTTTAGGTTAGGGGCATGAAGAAAAGTTAAGTGCAATCAGAGAATATAAGTAAACATTTATAATGCTTTTCCTTTAAGCAAATATTTGACATATTTTTCACTTTTTACTTGTGCTTTTAAATATGTGCAAGTCTGTAGTGTATTTGAATTTACCATCTTTTCCAAATGTATATTGAAATAAACTAGGAGAAGCAATATAATTTCCAGCTATGCAACTAGAATATTTTGGGTTCTATTAAATACCAAAAAAGATCAAAGACAAAAAAACAAGACACTGCAGACTCTAAGAATTAATTCATGAAATTACAGTTGGCACTTTTATTTCTGACTAACTAAACATGACAAGAAGTTTTAAAAAATATTTATAAAGTTTGGTTATTTTCATGAAAATCATGTTATTAATACAGATCTTGTTACTTCACCAACTTTATTTCAGTCAGATGCAAAAACTTTTTTTTTGTAACATGGACAATCCCTAATGAGATGACAGAGCATCAATGAATAGCTTGCAAGGAGTTATTACAGTTTTAAAGACACACAAGAAAGCAATACTTTGGATTTCTACCATGTTTTCTAATGTTTCTGTAACTGAAAAAAAATATTTGTGTACATTTAAAAAGAAAAATGCACTTAAGGGAGCAAGAAATTTAAGTGTTTTATAATAAAAATGGAAATAAGAGTAGATTACTTACATGTGAAGGAATGTACAGATCAAACACTGTGTGTGTGTCAAGGTCGATGGCATGGAAGCCTATACTGGAAGCGTAGATAACTTTCAATCGCTGATTCTCTTCAATTGTCAAGTCAACTAACAAAGGTTTATTTGTTAGTTCAGGTATGGACTGGAATCAAAAGAAGAAATGTATTTATAAATAAGACAAAGGGACATTAGTAATTAAGGCAGTGTAGTTGGTAAAACATTCATGTAGATTTTATAATTTTTTTATATGAGAATTGTTTGATAAGTAAGATCTCATCCTACAAAACACAGTTAATATCAGACAGAATATTGAAACTGGTATCAAAATGAAATAAATTTATTTCTTTTAGAAATTTATAACATTATCACCATTTTTTTTTTTAACATCGTCACTATTTGGTGTTGCACTTTTTCTAAATGTTCTATCCAATTTTTCATTCCATCCATGAAAAAAAAAATATTAAAAAATGCTGGTTTAATTTTGATCCAGTGGCTTCAACATCAGACAGAAAATTGAGGGATAACCAAAATGTCTGATGGTACCAAATTGAGGTTGTATGTAGAGCATGCATCAACTGTAGATTCCAATCTTTACATCTTTTGTTTACTACAATGTGGTCTTGCTTTATTGTGATGCAAAATTGACAAAATTCTTTCAGGTCTTATTCTGTGGATACATTGAGTGCTTCATAATACCATACTGGATTAATCATCATCATTCCTTTTGGCAGAAATTTAATGAAAATAATTCACTAATTGCTGTTTTATATATAAAATGTAGTTATCATAATTAATGAACCCTTTTACTCAGAGTTGTCACATAGCAAATTGACAGAAAACATGTTTGAAGAAGACTTTATATGAATACATGTTCAAACAAGCTGGTATCTCCACTAATAGTGATACTACATGTTAAGAGAACTTAATTATCAAACAACACATTATTATAATGAAATATAACATATGCATAAATAGTACACAGATATTGACTATATTATATTGCTACATAAGATTATATACTAAATGTGCAAGTACATTTACAAAGCTGGATCAATGAGTCTATAGCCCAGCAGTTCTGTGCTAAATTTTGACCTGTTTCCTTTTACTGTTTGATCTATTAATATTCACTACTGAATTAAGTGCATTAACAAGGAAGGAGATTATGTTGAAATCATTTATGTAAAATAAAGGGATTTTTTTTATCATAATTAGGCTATAAACTTACTGATGTACCTATATAGGTTTGCAGAATCTGATAGATCAAAATGTAAAAAAAAAAGGAGACATGATACATTTGTATACATTGTTGTAGGAGGTAAGAGGTGCAATGTATAGGGATATATGGGAAAGATAAGGGTATAACACTAGACTTGAAGTTAAGATTGGTGCGATTGAGAAAGGAATCTGTTCCACAAGAAGCTGTTTGAGTGGAACTTCCTTCTTACTAATGGAATACAAAGGAAATAGGATGGTTTGTCCCAGTAGATGTAGTATGACGGTGAAAGCTAGAACTGGTGGAACTAAGGAATGTAGATCGTCAGAAGATTTGCCATGGAAATAGCAATAGAGTAGCAAGAGCCTGAGAAAAGGGTTGTAGGGTGGAAAACAATTCAACACCCACAAAACTGTATAAATGAAAAGTTTTTCACAATCAAGACTTGAAAGTGAAGAAGGACTGGGCAGCTCCAGCCCAGATATGGCAGCAGTACTCCATTTGGGATCAGATCTGTCTTTTGAAAAGATAGAGCAAAGCAGGAGGAGTCAGGTACTTACTGGAGCAGTACAAGGAACCAATGATTTTCCTAGCATCATTAGCAATTGATTGTAAATATGTTCCACTTAAGGTCTGTTGTGAACTAGAATCCCAATAGACATTCAAGGCAAGGAGCTTTCTTAAGAGAACACCCATTCATTGCAATAGGCAAAAAATCAATATGTGCTTGGTGGTGATGGAACATTACTAGTTTGGTTTTTGAGGTATTGAATGTTACAAGTCAGTTATTTCATTCTGCTCGGTCCACTCCACTGCTGATATCAGCAGTGGAGTGGACCTAGCAGAGTGAAATCCATATTGCTTGTTACTTAAGAGGTCTGTTGAGATGATCAACACCTTATTAATGATACCCTCAAAAATGACACTAAGGAGGCTGATGAGCTTATATTGCATATTATATTGCGAAGGGGATGAGCTCTCATCGACATTCTTGAAAACTGGGCATACAACCGAGACCTTCCATAGACTTGGAATGGATTTCTGCTTTAGGCAGTGGTTAAACAATCTTGCTAAGGTTGGAGATAACTCTAGGTTAATGTCCTTAAGAACCACCAGGATTTTGTACAAATCAGTAGTCTTCTTAGGGACAAGGCTTTTGATAAATCTAAAAACTCCACAAGCCATCACAGAAATATTAGAAAGTTTGTGCTCCATGAGAGTGGGGTATCAGGTAGGGAATGGCCCTTGTCATCTAAAGTGGAGTTAGAGGCAAAGTTCATTGTAAAGAGCTTAGCTTTATCTGATGAAGATGAAAGAACCGCAGGGTCATTTATGATAATAGGCATTGAGGTTTTGGTTCTATTCAGAATTTTTTGGGGAGATTTTCCAGAACTCACCAGAATAAAGTAGTTTGCTTTCAATCTTGGCTTGGATGGCTTGTGCATAACTGTTCTTTACATTTTCTAGAACTCTCTTGCAATGATTGCAGGTAGTTATGAATGCATCAAGGGTCCTAATACACTGTTTCCTGCAATACAGTTGCTAGTAGTGTTTACAGTGAACTATGGATGTAGCATATTTTGGTATGAATCAGGACTTGCTATTCATTCAGTTTTTTCCCCTCTGAGGACTAAAACTTTTCAGAAATGAGGGGAGCAGTTTCTGGAAGCTCTATTTTAGAAAAATGCTGAAAGAGCTTCTGCCAAATAAAATCTGCTGAAGCTATCCCAGTCAACTTAGATGTACCAAAAAGATCATTTAATAAAATGGGACATCAGGGAATGCCTTTGGTTTAGCATCAACTTTAATCCTGACCATGGCAGCTGTATATTATTTCATCAAATGGTTCTTAACTAGACTTTATAAATTAAATTACTTCTCAATATTATCTCAGTCCTATTTTATTTTATTTTTTATTTTTTTCCCAACATTATCACAGTTCTAGTTCTTCTGTATTATTATGGTTTTATTTTCTTTTTTTAAGCATTATCACTGTTTGATTTTTTAGGCTTTTTTTTTTCAACATTATTGTGGTTCTATTTTTCTTTTCAGCATTATCATTATTCTTTCATTTTCAACAACATACCAGTTTTATTTTCAGCATTAACTTTTGTTTTGCTTTGTTTTACAATATTATTTTGGCTTTATCTATTTTAAACATTTTGTTTCTTTTTTTTTTTTTGTTATAATTTTCCCAACATTACCAAAGTTCTGTTTATCTATATCCACCTAAGACAGACAAACAAAGCAAATAAAGATAAATTAAACTCTGAAAATTATAAAATTCCTCAAAAGTTGTAAGAATCTAACAATGTTTGAAACCATTAATAAAATGAACTGTGGAATTATTTTTTCTGACTATTGAGGATGTTACTTTGGTCAATAAATAAATTTGGGTAAAGTTAAAATAGCTTTATTTCTTTGGCTGCAACTTTGCTTGATACAAAAGCTTCAGCTTGAATGAAAAATGGATTTATTTCATCTGACCAGAGGGTTAAGGCATCTATAGATTATAAAGACAAATAGATAGGCAGACTTACTCTCAAAGGATAGATTTAGAATTAGATAGATCAGTGATGGCCAACAGTCATATGTGATATTTTCAGATATTCCAAAGACACAAAATACATTGAAATTTTCATATAGAATTAGAATATATAAATAGAGGTTATCCATTTCTATATCTTGAAAGTAAAAGAAATATTCAGTTTGTGAGTTTAAAAGTAAATTTACATTTACATCTGAACTCTGGTTCAATAGTTTATTCAGAACAGGTTTAAAATGCACTAAAGGATGTGTTATTATCAAAAATATCTATTGAATAAAGTTATAATTGGAGACATTTAGAGAAAGAATTTAAAGAATGTTACCAGGTTTGGAAATTGAAATTGTTTACCAATTTTATAAGTATTTTCAGATCTTACTGAATTTTAATCAAACTTTTACTAATTTTTTTTTAATAGTATTTCATTATAATTTTAGTTGCTTATCTCAACTACTCAAACCATCATTAAATGATAAGAGCCTGAATGATGGTGATGAAAAGCAGCAAAAATTATGATGAAAGGAATAGTAAACACAAATAATGGTTGAAAATTCTTTATCTAATAAAATGTAAAATGATATTTAATATATATTTTAAAGGATCAAGGTGAATATTAATTAAAATGAGATTGATAAAAGTTTTGTTCTTTTTTTCTGAGTAAATAACCAACTATGGCTTGCAATTTTTGCTTTTGTTACAACTCTGAACAAATTGCAAATGAAAAAAAAATATTTGTGCTAAAAGTTTAAGTTATAATCACCAATTAGTAATAATGTAACAGACCTCAGTATTTCTAAATGTAGCAGAATGCCAATTGAAGAAAACAAACTTCTGCCATTTTGTGATCATTTCTTAATAAGCTTAATAGCTGCTTGCAGACTTACAAGCCTAAATTTGGCAACCAAAGAAAAGTAAACAGAACTGAAGTGAATAAAATACTCTTAGAAAAGAGCATGTTAAATCTAAGGAAATAATCAAAGGATGGAGAATGAAGAAATGATAGCTCAAGTAGAGATCTTACTATGACCATGATAAACATATTGACATGGAATCTGACAATTTAATCATGGAGTGACAAAGAATGAAAAGAAATAAAACAATTTTTCCAGTCAAAAGCAGTTCAAATCAATGATCAAGTGAAGCAAAGAAATATTATACCCCCACTTCATACTTAATTGCAGCAAATCAAATTTTACAGAAAGATCTTTTTTTCCTTCATGTGCATGCCTTTTATTTTTTCAGGAAAAAAATTAATATAGATCAAAGTTACAATAGAATTTGAAAATTCTGCATGTCATTACAGTGTATTGTTACTCTGTCAACAAAAATATCCTTACAATATTACTGAGAAATTAATATTAAAATAACATTTTTGGGGGCTCTT